TTCTTTAGCACTCACCATGTGTCCTAGGAATTGGAGTTTCTCGAGGGCGAATTCGCTCTTGGATAGTTTGATGTAGAATCGTTCTCGTCAAAGAATATCGAAGACCCGTCGCATGTCTTGAACGTGCTACTGCATGTCGCGCGAGTAGATGAGGATGTTGTCCAGGTACACCACCACGCATTCGTCCAAGAGTGGGCGTAGAGTATGGTTCATTTTGGCTTGGAACGTTGCCGGTGCGTTGGTGAGCCCGAACGGCATTACCAGATATTCGTACGACCCATACCGATTGCGGAAGGTAGTTTTGTGGAAGGAATTGTCGCCATTCGTATCTGTTAGTATCCGGACCGCACATTTAGCTTGGAAAATACCGTGGCTCCCCGAAGCTGTTCAAGCAGGTCATCGATTCATAGGTAACTTGCTGCCGTCCACCATCGTTGCAGAGAATGCTAAAGCCTTGTACTCTTCCCGAAGTCGGTCGATTACTGCCTTGTCGCATACGGTGTGTGATGCTCCGCTGTCCACGAGTGCTTGGAGGCGTCGTCCTTTACAGATGACCTCGAGCACGAGGGGCAGGTTTTCTCGGTGTACCCAAAGATAGTTTCGTTAATAGGATCATAGGGTACATCCCAATGATCCGTACATACCTAGTCCTTGCTATCTACTCTTTGGCAGGCAGCTGGCCGAGGCTGCTTGGAGAAAGGCTCTCCCTCAGGGCCCTGAGCTTTCTTGACGACAGTGTGTGTCTCTAATGCCGAATTTGCTGAGCTGGATGCATCCGAAGGAGGAGTTCAGGGTTTTTGCAGCTTCTTGTAGACCCCCAGCTTCCTCTTCAACTGCTTTAGCTCCACCAACGTCTTCCCTAGGCAACGGGTAGTCATTGTGGGCTGGTGGCGGGAGAGGACGTTGACTCCGTGGAAAGGTCGGCTTCTTTCCACACTCCTTAATTTTGTCCCTGAGTTTTCCGGTTCTGGTATGATCTCCACAAGTTTCTGCTTCTTCTGGAATCCCTCCCGAAATTTCTCAAGGCTCTAGCCCCTCGAGAATCATAAGTTTTCATTAAGCATCCTTATTAGATTACTTAAAGCATCCTTATAAGAGAACCATCATTTTCCTTAACGAATCCTTTAAAATTCTTAGGTCTTCTCGGAGCTTCCCCGTCTCGGAAGAGTCATTTTTTCGCGGGGTCATATTTTTTTTCGGCGATTTTCCCTGGCGAAGACTGGTTGTGGGGTGGAGATTTTTCCCCATCATTTCCTCCTGCTCGCATAGAATCAGCTTTGTTGAAGTTGATTTTCCCGGAATCCCGCGCCCGCTTTCGGATCTTTTTCACCAGCTAGATCCACAATCACTGGCGAATTCCGTTTTTTGTCTTCTGATTGGCCGAAGAATTTCCGCAACTGTTGCGTGCCCAATACTCTGCTCATGCGGCTTTCATTTTGTTGCAGTCGAAGATTCGATGGCCCGGCACCCCGCAAAAATCACACGTGTACTTGGTGTTTTTCGGACGTGTTCGCCTGTCAAACCTATCGATTTCCATCGCGTCGGCGAACGTGGGGTGAGCCGAGTGGTCGCCCTATCGTGTACTATCGACGTGCGCCCGTCGTGTTCCGGCGTTACCTGTCGTTTGACTTCGGTCTTCAGCCCGACGAGATACGCTGTACCTTTTCTCCTTCGGTCTGGTCGAGAAAGCAGGTATAAAATTCCTCCATCTGTTGCATGTACTGTGCTACACTCCCGAACTGTCGATAGCGATGAATTTTTTCCCGGACAAGGAAACCCGAATTTATCGGCTCGAAGCGTTTCAGCAGGTCGGTGCGGAACTACTGCCACGTGGCTTCGCCGTGGATGAAAGTACTGTTGCCGCCAATCCACTCGAGTGTCGGCCCTCGCATTAGTATCGCCGCGAGTCGTACGTGTTGACCGTCCTAGACTGGCGAGCTCCATCCGACGGCTGCGAAGTGGATTTCCATGTCGGCGATCCATCTGCGGACGTCGGAATTTCGATCACTCGGATCGAACGGCTCAGGTGGGTGCAGTTTCGGAGCCTCGAGAGTTGCTGCGACTGCTTTGTCGTTGCCGTTGTCGTTTCGTGTTATGCGCCGGCGAGTCGAGTTACTCGCTCGAACTTGTTTCGCCAAGCTTCGCGATCAGCTTGCATCTCCTCCTGAAGGGCGGCAATGCTCGCGAAGAGCTGCTGGGTAACCTTGACGTTGTCGAAGTTCACCATCCTGTTTAAAACATGCGCGGAGGGGTTAATTAAAAAAAATGGGGAGCTGGTGCTTACCAGAATCGGCGCCGAATTAGTCGCCCCCAGGGGTTTTGCGAGGCAAGTTTTCCCGCTGCTTTCGCTTAGCTGAGCGCGGTAGAGTGAGAAAAGCTATGATTACCAACTGTTACAGGATCGAATGTGTCGAGGAAAAGTTGCACTTATATCGATGGATACAAGGCGCTTTTATACTTCCGAGGTACATCAGGTAACCAGGTTTATGCTATCTAAAGGGAATAGACCCTTCTAGAATTAGAATCACCCTGCGTATAGCCATGCGAGTCTATTAGCTTTAAGGGATTACGACAAGATTACGCTAGATATAGCACGCAGTTCATCCCGAGCCTGGTCGATGATAGAATTATAATAATAGGATAACCTAAAGAATAATGAGAAATGAGGAATAGAAAACCAAATGGGATGTGATAAAGATCAAAGGAATCAGGATTAAAAAAAAAAGGAATGAGATAGAGGCATAACATGGAAATGAGAAAGAATTGTAACGGGGTCGTACTCTCACATCCGCCCAGCTGTTACCTAACTAGCCAAATTCTCTAGTACCCCTGTCCAGCTGTCCGTGCAGACGTTCACCCATCTTGTGGCTACTGCAAGTTACCCCGCATCTACTTCGCTACTGCTTAACTAACTAAGAGAATCCGCAGAGATAGGAGTCCGCACACTTCTAGTCAGAGGAGCTTTAACGAGCTCGCCTACTGACCGCTGGACAGCTCCTTCCTCCGTCGAAAACTCGTCAAACTACACCCGCAAAAGTCGGAAACTCCTTATGCTGCACCAAGTGAAACCCTCGGCTCTGCTGCAACAATTACGCCTTACATTTCGGGGACACTCCATCAGAACAGTGTAGTTCGCAGGTTACCCCCGTAATCAGCCAAGTGCCATCAATTAATAATTCGACACTGCTACCTGGTGGAGATGGTAATATTCGGGCAACATAGCTCAGCGAGCAGCAGCCCGAACGCCGCCGACCCTCAACTGCTCCAGTACTCCCGTCGTTCTTCTTAGACTGTTTTAGTTTCTGGCAGTTAACGCTTTCGGCGACCAGTGGAAATACACTTAATACACATCGAAGGGTGGTGGCCTCCGTTTCCGTTGATCGTGCGGATATGAATCGCTGGTCCACAAAAAACGCCTCCCCACGCGGGAAGTTGCCCTCGCTGAGTACACTTACTCCAGCACAGCGTCATCATCTTCAGATGGCCGTCGTGGTGAATGGCGCCGAGGTCATTAGTCCCAGCTGCTCCCACACAACTGCACACCCACACGTCCCCATGCCATCGTGTTATTTCGAAATTGTCGGATCCGCCCATTGCTGAAAACAATCTTGAAGTCCCATCCATTACCTGCAACTAGCCTGCCAGAAACGCTGGTACCTGCGACAGAGCTATAGTTCACCCTGCAGCTTCATGGCACGTCCCGCCATTGTCGCCACCCCGCGCGCTCCTGACGACCAACTCCCGGCCGCCTGAGGACTCCTGTGCACTTGTCTCCTCCTAACAAAGCCTTCGCTTTTTTCGGAAGCCAATCCGAAGACTGTCAGGACGTCAGAAATTTACGAAATCTCTAACGAACGTACCCGAAAAAACACGGCGAAAACGTCGCCCACTCTTCGACGAAAATAATTTCGTCTACGCTTGGTGAAGGGGAGTACCGGCTAATCCCTGCCGTCCATCGGACAGGATCTGACGGCATTAGAGACGCCCGCGTAATTAATCTTCGTGTCGTCCGCTCGCCATGGGTAGGAACCTAGCTCTGATTCCAGCTGTTATGAATTATAAGTCAGAGTATAGTTTAGAATTCTATAAGGGGAGCGTAATTACAGAGTGCCCTATCCAAATGAGACCTAGGGCTTATATAGTGCGAGTTGACTAAGGTTGAGTGTCGAGGGTTGGACCAGTCAAGGGCTCGTTAGTTCCGAGGGTGACGGGGTCAAAATGGATTCGGGGCGACTCGGGATGAGGTTGGGGCCGACGAGGTCGAGTTTGGCGAGTGATTTGAGGGCCGAGCCTGCGGACGCGAACTGTTCGCGTATACTCGCTGTAGCGAGCCCCAGTAAGGAATCGTAATTCCTTGCATGTTTTGCAGTTGCTGCCAGATCTCGGTAATTGAGACCCTGGCTAAGGATGACGCAAAGCAACGCTAAGAAAGTAACGAGTGCGGTAATCTCAGAGTTCATGTTCATGTTCATGGGTTGCCTTCTCGGCACGAAGGGCAAGGAAGATCAGGGCCCATCTATCGAAATGGCGTACGCATTAGTAGCCATATTGCAATTTTTCATGCATTCGAAAATGGTCTCTAGTGGTACAGCTCTTTGAAGTTTCATGTCCAAAGTTGTTCAGTGCAGCAATATTTGTGATGAGAGTTGTTCCTAGGGTTGTTAAGACTACAATTGTGATGAGAAGAAGTGTAAGTTCTTCATGAATGATGAATGATGAGAGTCCATCACGGTTTTCCTTACTGGCAGCAATACTGTACCCGCGCCTCGCGCCAGCGCCAAGAAACATGGGCGCGAGGGGTTGTCGTGGGGTGGGGTGGGGGGAGCGCAGCACGAATCACCATGGCGACGACGCCACATTGCGGCGCGGCCCTGCCTGTCGCTCTCCCGACAGCACCGTGTGTGACTTACTCTTGCTCTACCCCCCTCCGCCCCAACCCATCCGAGTTCCATCAATGGCAGAGCAAAGGATATGAAGTCCCCCACCTCCAGTCTCTTCTTGTCTAGCAGCTTTTCTCGCAACAGCATCGACGCATTTCCAACTTCCTTCGCTCCAGGCTCACCCAATCTTCCACAGATTCTAGAGCTTCTTGCAACGCCATGGCTGTCACGCGTATCTTTCTCCTAACTCTGACCGTGGCCGCTGTCGTCAGCGTCAACGCCGGGCGACTTCCATCGTCGTCCGGGCTGGCATTGCCCATAGATCAGACCCGACCCCAGCAGGCCCCTGTCCAGGGCTCCGTGCAGGGATACTCGCCCGAGTACCTCAAGTTCCTCATTCGCAGCGCCACTTCGCAGGCCATCACCGCGCTGAGCGCCGGTAACCTGCTCTTCGCCTCGCGCATCTTCGCGACGTTCGCCACGCTGTACCCGTCGAACGCGGAGCCCCTTTCGCTGTATAGCCCGCTGGACAAGCAGAAGGCGCTCAAGGTGCTGGTGGACAAGAACCTCACCATCACGCACACCATTACCGGTATCTCCATTGCTAAGGACTCCACCGGCGGTCCCGCCGCCCCCGGGAACGGCGCCGTCGCATCTGGGCCGTCGAACGACATCAAGGAGATCTACTGCGAGGGGTCGTACACGCTGATCGACCGCGCGACGCAGACGATCAAGGCGAAGGGTAACTTCATCTCCACGTGGACGCCATCGTCGCCGTTCGTCGGCGATCTGGAGAACGACCTTGATTATGTCGGCCTGAGCCGGCTCATGTGGACCAAGTATTAAAAGCGGCGCGTTCCGCGGGATCCTGAACGGAGGAAGACGGACGAACGGATCTGTCGCCGCGACATAGAGAACATAGTTGTTGGGACATTACCGCCGGAGCATTACCACGACATTTTATAATTGTTGCACGGTGGGTGCATGCTTGTTGTCAAGCAAGCTGCCCCGCCCAGTGCGATGGTAATACGTTTTCAATAAGACCCGAGCACCGCATCTGACCAGGGTAGTTGCCCTTGGGTCTCGCCCTGAAAGGTGACAGTACTCAGAGTAGTTGCCGCTATGCTTCCCTAACTTCAGTAGATTGTGTTTCTGCTGTTTTTTCCCACTGACATACGAATCCATCATTATGTCACGCGATTGCTTCCTCCAGCCCTGAGCTTTGCAATGCATCTCCTGTCCTGACCCATGCTACAGCATCAGATTGGTCCTCTCAGCAGTGCCTGTTGAAAGGCTAGGTTAGGAGAGAAGCCATGGAAATGGTGTGAGGGTTTAGCTAGGGGTGAGAGTTACGAGAGAAGTTGACTAGGGAAGAGGAGATACAAGAGGGTGGGGGGGTTGTCCCCTCTACAGTAGGATCCAAGCAAAGTAGCATATCTACCAAGCCTAACCATATATATATATATATATAAATATATAATTTCACAGTGCCAGCTGTCACCACGTCACGCACGAGGGGTAGATGCCCAGCTGCTTACGAGCATGGGGGTGTAAGGGTGTTGGGGGTGTGTGGTGTTGGGTGGGTGTGTGACTACCAAGCCTAGGGGGTGTGTTAAGATTATATAAGTTATATATCTAAAAAACTGAATGAATAGGATCCTAAACTTAGGACACTAGCTTAGCTAGGATACTAGGAATGCCGCCATGGAATGGCGTGAGGAAAGTATCTAGGAGCGGGGGAGAGAACGTCGAGAAAGAAGAGGACTCGATTAGGAAGAGAGAGGAGTACAAGGAGGGGTTTGTACCCTCTACAGAAAGGTTCAGTAACAACCTACCAAACCTATATTAAATTATAACTTATATAATTTTAACACACCCCCTAGGCTTGGTAGTGTCAAGCCCACGCACACACCCACACCCACACCCTCACCCACACCCCCTAGCCCAGCACCCCCATTCCCATCAGGAGCCGCAACGACTCCGGAAGTGGGCAGCTCCCACGGCCCGTGGGATGGCAATGGCGGCAGCAGCGACAGTGACGACAGCGGCGGCGGCGGCGGCGTGCGGCGGCACCAGGCCCCCGGCAACAGCGGCGGCGACGGCGGCTTGAACGTCAGAGGCTGGTGCAGCGGCCCCCGCCCTCTCGGCAGCATGTCTAGTCTCCTCGGCAGTGGGGAGGGCCCTCATGAGGCAGTCGTCGGCTGCAGCAAGGAAGGGGGGAATGCAGGGGAAGGAGGGGGAGGGGGGGGGAGGGCGAGGCAAGTCTTCAGCGACGCGCCATAAGTGGCGCGGCGCTTACTGGCAGGAGGGCGGGCAGGTGGCGGTTACAACGGCGTGCTGCCCGCTGCCGCCCATCGACGCTGCCGCGGCAGCATGACGACGCCGCCAGAGCGCGGCGTCGACGCTGTGGCGGCACGCCGACGCTGCAACGGCAGCAAGGTGACGCTGCCACGGCAAAGCGTCGACGCCACCACGGCAGGGCGTCGAGGATGCGACGGCCGCACGACGAAGCCGCCATGACAGGCCGGCATGGCCGCCACGGCGAGAAGGCAGTGACGAGAGAAATGCGCGGCGGAAGCGACGGCACGACAGCGCGACGCCACAGCAGCGCGTCGAGACGGCCGCGGCACGACGCGGCCAGCGGTACGACACGAGCGCCATGGCAGCGCGAGAAGCGTGAGTAGGCGGCCCAGCAGGGAGGACCTCCTGCTCTGATACCATCTTAAAAACTGAATGAATAGGTTCCCAAACTTAGGACACTAGCTTAGCTAGAATACTAGGAATGCCGCCATGGAATGGCGTGAGGAAAGTAGATCTAGGAGCGGGGGAGAGAATGTCGAGAAAGAAGAGGACTCGATTAGGAAGAGAGAGGAGTACAAGGAGGGGTTTGTACCCTCTACAAAAAGGTTCAGTAACAACCTACCAAGCCTATATTAAATTATAACTTATATAATTTTAACAATATAATCTTAACACCAGCCAGTTGCCAATTGCACATGAGTTCGCTCCCTAAAACACCATCAAACTCCACCTTATCTCATGGCTCTGCACTGCACTAAGAGATAAGCAGTCTGCAATCTCTTTTTGAGGCATTTCATAGTGCGTCATTTGCCAAAGGTGCCATCGGCGCATCATGTGTCTTCTTCAGCCATCTGCAGCACCTTAGCAGCTCTCCTCCCACTCCCAAGCATCCCCTCTCAAAACTGAATAATGGTTAGAATAGGAGAGTACAAGGTAATATAAGCTAGGGAGTTGTACCCTCTAAAGCACAAACCTGTCTAGTCTACAGTAACATACTAAGATAAGTTTGACACACCCCCTAGACTATATAGGGGCAGTGAGGTAGTGCCTAACACGAGAACAAGCAGCTCAGGGCGGCACTACTAGTCCAGCCTCTGAGGCAAGGGTCTAAAGACTAGTCAATAGGAGTACAGACAAAACAAGAGCAAGACCAGGGTGGCACTACTAGTCCAACCACTGGGAGAAGCCACAAGGCCAGTCTGGGTTGTTGGAAATGCCTCGAAGACTTAAGCGTTTCTGAAGTGTAACACTACACTCGAAGAAATGTCGTATCGAGTACGCGAGTCAACGAAGGTTACACGAGGAGGTTGGACGAAAGAACACGAAAGGACGAAGGGACTCGAAGGGTTGCAACTGGAGGTTGCGACCGACCGTTGCGACTGCAAGGATGGTAACCGAACCAACGATCGAGTCTCTGTGCGACTCGATAACCGTTTCTTCAACTGTATTCTACAACTGCTCTATATTATATTCTCTATATATTCTTGTATGCTTGTTTCTTTTAATCAATCACTTGCTCTCACATACTAGTGCAAGGGTTCAACTACTCAACTCTTCCGCTCCACTACTCAAGCATTTCATACAAGTGGGACTTAGTCTCTGAAAAGATCCTAGGGCTTTTCTCAGCTCAACATGGTATGAGAGCTGGTCAGAGATCTAACTCCCATCAACGACATTCTATCTACAGTCAGCACATAAGAACTTCATCAACTACAAGCCATGGACAACAAGGGCAAGAAGTCTTCTACGGGCTCACCCAGCGGCCAAGACACTCAACCCGGCATCTCTGGACTACACACTTCAGGATTACAAACTGAGACCGACATTGCTCAAGAAACAACAGGAAGGGTACTAGAAATGGTGACCCCTTCACCCTCTTCAGGCGTGGACCCAAACCTTATGGAAAGGTTCTTCAGTTTCATGTCACACTTTGACCAGCAGCAGACAAGGACACCTGCGCATTCAACACAGAGCAACGGGGGAAATATGGGATTAGCACCAATGAGCCTCGACAACTCATCATTAGGGCGGCACAATCAAGCACCTACCTTTGCGCCTTATCACTCTTCACGGAGGATATTCGAGTTCATGTCGCCTCGTGCTCAACCGACAGCAACTGCATCACAGCAGACACCAAACGAGATATTGAGTCTCCAGGCGCAGTTTTCACATGTGATCAAATTGCAGACATCCTCATCGTTCAACGGGCACGACTTCCTTACTTGGAGTTTTGAGTTCGAGCTGTTGATGGAGGCCGCGCACCTCTTCGGATACTTCAATGGGTCCCTGCCATTTCCAAGTAATGGCACTGCAAAGGAAAAGGAAATCTTCACTTATCAGTCACTGTTGGCGTACACAATTCTCCTGCGAAATCTGTCACCACAAGAGCAACAGAGCATCAGAACGTATCGGAGCTACGGAAACTCCGCGGAGCTCGCCTAGCATCATCTGAAGTGCCTCTATCAAGCAAACGACAGCGTGACACAAACCAGACTCATGCAGCAGTTGAGCACAGTACAAATGAAGACCAGGGAAAAGGCGATGCACTATATGAGTTGCTGTCAGACACTCCGCGACCGCCTGCTTCGGTGCGGAGGAACAATCACAGAAGAAAGCTTCGTAACACTTGTTCTCGCTGGGCTCGGGCCAGAATGGAGAACCACCCGCTCGCTTCTTCGCGCCCACGGACGAATTTCCGAGATGCACCTCTGCGCCGAGCTTCATGCCGAACAACAGGAGATGGACCTGTTTGAAGAAAGACAACCACGGAACAAGCAGCAGCCATTAGTCTTCTACACTCAAAGAAGAAACGACAACAACTATAACCGACGGGATAAGCAGAATCGATATGATACAAGAGGACTCACCGTCGTGCCACCGTTCTGCCACAATTGTCAGACATCCGGACACTCCAAGGTTAACAGCACACGCCCTCGAGTTTATCGTCCAGCAGATCCGCAAATCGCCTCAACTCAAGAGAATCTGCCAAGCCGTTCCTCTACACCTGCACGAGACACACCAAACATCATCAACTGCATGGTACGGATTGACAGTTGCAGACCCGAGTCACCACCCACTTACGCTCCAGACGAAGAAGAACTGCCACCGACACGCTCACAAGGTCTCCAGGTCAACCCGACGTACGCTGCAGTCGCCAACGCCGAACCCACCGGGCGAAACACCTGGTTCTTGGACAGCTGCTGCGGCCAACATATGTGTTCCTCCGGGCGCTTCGTGCAACGAGAGTGACGCCTCAACCGCGATGTCATCATCACCGTCGCCAACAACGAGAACCTGAAAACAAACAAACAAGGCGTCGTTCAGCTTCAGTCAATGGAAACAAACGTCATACTACAAGTTAACAAGGTTCTAATCGTCGACAACTTGGGATACAATCTACTAAGCGTAAGCCAGTTAATGGCAAAGGGTATTCACCTGGAATGCGATTCGGACGACAACAAGTTTCGTCTCTACCACGGGAAGGGCGGCCTCTTCATCGGTCGTGCTCTCCTGAAGTCGGGCGTCTTCGAGCTGGATTTCGTCCCCGGCCGCGGTACTGCCGACAGCGATGGCATCGTGTCGTTTGCCGCCTGGACGCACCCGCCGGATCTTGACCCCGCCCTTACCCCGGATGGCTTCTGGCACTCCAACACCATTCCTGTAGCAGAACGAACACGAGCACTAGCAATCATCCGCCAAGAACGACAAGTACCGGCAAACATCCCTCCTCCAACATCACTTGCAGTAGTAGCAGCAGGACCCAGCCGTATGCCATCACCAGCAATCCGAGGACCGCCATCCGAAGCAGATCAACTCACGCCCATCACCCGAGGAGTCTGCCGCAGTCCCGCCATGGTCGTCGCGTTCTTCTCCAACGCCGACGTGTACCAGCGCTCACCCGGCCATCGCGCTCCCGACGACATCTGGCATCAACGCCTCGGACACCCTGCAAACAGCACAGTACTACAAACCCTACAAAACGGAGTATTAGAAGAGGACGCTCTTCTCACAACGAGCGGCCAGGAGCTTCGACGACCCCGCGCACGATGCTTCACGTGCCCCGAAGCTGATCTTCCCCACCAACCTTTCCCGTCGCACCACAATCCAAATGCAC